ATATATCTTTTGACATGGCATGTAGACATGTTTATAACCTCAGAATTTATACGTTTGATTATGGCGATATGATTTTGGTTTAGGGACATAGCTTATGTCATTTTATCAGGTGAAGAAAATGTGTGAAGTTCTATGGCTAGGTCGAGTCATCAATTTCATTCCTACATAGATTAATGGATAGATAACCTTTCTCTGTCACACCCCCATTCATATACATAACTATCCATTAACCTGTGTCGAAATAAAATTGATAACTCGACCTAGACATAGAATTTCTCACATTTTTTTCACCTGATAAAACGACATAAGCTATGTCTCTAAACCAAAATCATGTCGCCATAATCAAACATATATATGCTGAGATTATAAACAAGTCTACATGTCATGTCAAAAGATGTACAACACATGATCCCCAACGTACAACACAATAGGTCATAAGCTCAAAATAGCAACCCACAACATAACCCAACAAATCTTCATCCGTATACATAGAACTCTGGAATCCTATAAGAGCTCCACAGCTAGCCATGCTCTCTATGTAGTTCCAGGCTAACCTACAATGCAAGAACTATATAACTCAATGCTTAGTAAGAAAAAATCATGCATGTCATGAATATGAATAATAATGATATATGTCATTATGCCATTTACTATAAACATCACAATAAAGAAGCATCATAATCCAATATGTATCAAAGTCAACTCAAAATCATTTCATTGGGCCCCTGACGCACCTACTATGCACCAGATAGAGCTCTATATAATATCAATATCAATAATCAAATGGTCAATATGAAATCGACTCCGGCTAGTGGACCATCCTCTCGTGACCACTAGAGGCCCATCTCCTAACTACCCCTATGATCACCCAAGAAGTCTCGCACTCGGCAGCACCAATAATCATAATATCACAAGGGCACAGTTGAGTGGTCCACCCTCCCGTAATCACCAAAGGCCCATCCCCTGTCTACCTTTGCAATCACCCAGGAAGTATCACCCACTATGCCAAACATATCACATAAGCATTATTCATGTCTATCAGTCCTTTAAGACTTCTTATATGTAGTTTATTATCCCTAAATTTCATAAAAAAGGCCCCAAGGATAAGTAGGAAATCAAAATTTAATCAAAGGAGACAACACCTACTTAACATGTGATGACTTATCACTTTAACATCTAATGCCTTCAACCTTAAGCCTCCAACATATCTTATAAGTCCTTAGAACTTTACACAAGATAGATATAACTCTTCTAACTCACATATGGCTCCATATGATGTAAGGGAGAAGTTAAAGTTGGCTACAAGAAGCCTTAAGTCTCGCTATTTTTCGAGTCCAATTATGGACATCAACATCATCCAATTGTTTTCATTGACCTAGTACTCCTTAGAATCTATTTTCTAGGCCCAAGAGTTCATTAATGGACATATAAATGTTGAAATCACATTAAATATCCAAATAGACAGAATATGTTTTTTAGGTTTCCATCACCATCCACTCATTTTTTGAATTTTTTTTCATGCCCTTACCTACATTTAACGACTCCCAAACTTTTACCACACACCTAAACGTATATCTGAAGATAATCAGGTAATAAGGTTGTGACAAATGAAGTGTTTTGAGCTTCAAAAATAGTCCATTTTTCACTACACAAAATCAGACAGTTTTTCCCTTTGACTGTTTTCGATTTCCATTTTCTTAGTATGATACCAATAGAATTCCATGCCATTAAAAATCATTTATACACTTCATACTTACATACTAAGTATCATCCCAAAATCAAGGTACATACTACTCAAATCTAGTAACCTACATCTCTGCCCAAGTTGTTTTCCCTCAAGGTCTTGTAATTAATTACCCCTATTTCGGCATCATAAAATCACGAACAACACTCCAAAACAATCACAAGAAAGTTCAAATGTTCAAAAAATTATAAACCCCTTAAGAAATAATGGATACAAACCTCAAAACCGTGAAGTAACTCTGCAGTCCAGAAATTTCAGCTTCATGTTTCTATTTCTCTTTCACTCTCTTTTTCACTTGGAATCACTTAGGGACGAGATAAGGAAGCTAATGTATTATCTAGGAGATAAATAAGTGGTCCTTAAGAGGTTGAGGTCATGTTTCTTGCTTAAAGGCTAAGGATTTTGTAGCATGAAGCCACATTAAGCTACTTTGGTGAATAATAAGTAGGAGGTGGCTTCTTGCTGCTATATTTGACCTTTCTACCATTGTATTTGGATTTAGTTATGCCTTATAAGATATCTATATCCATCCTACACGAGATCATTCCTTAAGGTTGAAGAAATTGAGTGTTGAAATGACAAACATCCCAAGCACGAGGTGTTGAAGCATGAGGTGGTTACTTGTAGTAAAAATCTGATTTTATATCTATCCTTTTAGGTGAAAATCGAGTATCCTTGGCTCATTTTGACGTGTTTACAATCTATTTCACTTGTCCTAAGATCCCAAAAGATATTATAGGGCTAATTCTTTAACCGTTCATTTAATTTCTTACCCGATTGACACTCGATTGTCAACCGATATCAACAATTCACACCTTAATATTTATAACGTCATATGAGAAGCAAGAACTACATAAGTAAATGCTTAGTAAGTAAAAATCATGCATGTAATGAATATGAATAATATCGATATATGCCACTACGTCATTTACTTTAAACATAACGATAAAGAAGTATCATATTTCAATATTCATCAAAGTCGACTCGAAATCATTTCATTTGAAATCTTTCATTTTATTGGGCCCTTGACCCACCTATTATGCACCAGATAGAGCTCTGCATAAAATTAATATCAATAATCAAATGGTCAATATGAAATTGACACCAGCGAGTGGACCATCCTCTCGTAACCACTAGAGGCCCATTCCTTAATTACCCCTATAATCATAATATCACAAGGGCCCAGTCGAGTGGTCCACCCTCCCGTGATCACCAAAGGCCTATCCCCTATCTACCTTTGCAATCACCCAAGAAGTATCACCCACGATGCCAAACATATCACATAGGCATGTCTCACATGCCTCAATGCCCTAATAGTGGCCAATAAAACATTTATAAAGAAAACTCACTTTGAAATCATGTTTCGCATGCAGGATTTTCAACCATGTCACATGTCGTGCATGCATATGAAAATGCTCATGAATGACGTATTTAATGAAAATTGATGTCAATAGGTTCCGCAACCTCATACTCAACGATTATAACCATCATATGATGTGCTATAAGTCTCTTATCAAAGTTATGTAAATATTCCAACATTACCATATCACAAATACTAGGTTCTTGCATCGTAGTTGGAAATGAATTTTTACTTACCTTTCGCCTTTGTGTGTGCAAGTTCCTACGGAGTGTATATCAATTTCCTTTTTCGTTCAACGTCAAAAAATACCTGTATTACCATCTAATATTAAAGACAATCCTCCATTTAATAACCTTAACACACACAATCCCAAAATACATCCATTCACGCCAAAACAACTTAGACTAAATCATTATTTCAAGTTAACGATGGCATTACAAACTAGTCCCATAAGTCTGCTATTTCTCCAATCCAATTATGAACGTCAACATCATCTAATTGTTGTCATTAACCTAGTACTCTTAAAATCTATTTTCTAGGCCCAGTAGATCATTAATGGACATATAAATGTTGAAATCACATTAAATACCCAAATGGACAGAATCTGTTTTTAGATTTTCTATTACCGTCCAATTATTTTTCCAATCCCTTTTCACCCCCTTAGCTATATCCAACGACTCCCAAATTTTTACCAAAAAAAAAATGTTGAGATTATATTGGATATCATATGACAAAGTTTAAAAAACAAAATTATTAATGTATACTTGTGGAATTCCAAACTCCAACTATTCACCATTATCAAGTTTTCAATTCCTTCAATTGATTTTCTTAGCTTCTCCTTTTTTTATTAGAAAATTATATGGCTGAAAATATGTTTGAAGATAAATTGTAATGGTTCTCCATTGTTGATTTTTTTTTTTTTAATAGTAATGAAAATGTAGCAGCTAGAAAAGAAGACAATGGATTTTCTTTTAACGTCCATGCCTTACTTATTTAAATCATTATCAAGGACGGACCTATGAAGGGACGAGTGGGTGCCATCGCCACACTGGATTTTCATATGCAACTCTTTTAAATTCAAAATTTCAGTTTTTTTTTTTCCTTTTTTTTGGGTTTCTTTCTCATTTTATTTGAAATAATTTTTTTACGGAATTGTGTCTCGTCTCCACTGAGCCATAATCTTGAGTCCACCCCTAATCAATATAATATTTTCGACAAAAAAAAAATTACGACTATTTGATGAAAACCATAATGACTAAATAGAGATGGAGTACCTTAAAATAAAATGTGAAAAAATAATATGTAACGGAAAAGCTACAACTATGAAAGTCGTCATCCAGGTGCTTCCATTGGTGGGGTCCACTCCGTGAGTAAAAGTTGGCAGATTGAATAATTTGATAGGAACTAAATTTCGCCGTAAACAACTAGACCGGGTGCTATTCTGATACAGTTTCTAGAAACCGAATCCCATATCATGCACGAAATAGAATAACAACACTATTCCACGAAACACCTTTCTTGTTTGGAAAGTAACTAATTCTGTTTGTCCGTGTGTTTTTCTTTTGGAAAATGCTGTGTGTACACCTCATGAGTACACAATAGATTACATTCATTCACATGGAGTGGGCCCATGAATATTTTATTATATGTGGGTCCTCTCCATGTTAAAGGAGTATAATGTTGTGTGTACGTATAGTGTTTGTCCTTTTCTTTTTCCAATAAAATTTACTTAACCGATGTTGCTTGATTCAACCATATTTGATTATATCTTGGTGTATATTGTGTGAAAATTCAAAAGGTATTGGACAAAAAACTCTATTTTTAAACAATCAAATTTTTTATCGACGTGCGGCACAAGATCAACCATGATATCAAAAGGAATGCACATATAGCATGATTGTTTGACTAATTACCCGTTTTACACGAATTAAGCTCTAGATTTTATTTATAAAATTATTTAATCATATATTTTATGAAATTCATAACTTTTCAATCATACATTTTATCAATTATTATTGAAATCTATTAAAAATTTGATTTTAATTCCCTCCAAACAAGAGCTAAGTTCCTATTTTATTCACTCTTATCAATACTTAGCATTTGGTTGGGAGCCATTCTCCCCAAATTATAATGAGAGATTTAAATGTTGTAACAGTACGCTGCAACCAGTCCAATTGAAATAATTGACGAAAAAATTGGCAGCCGTCTTTTCCTATTTTGAAATGCCAAAAATGCACTCGTTAAGAATATTGAATGCAAATATTAAAGGGCACCATGGTCTTTCCATCAAAATTTTTAATGGAAAAAGCCTTCTTGCCAGAAGAATTCTTGACATGGGCTTTGACAGCCTCTCACAGCCTCGGGCCCCACATGAATATTTAATTGGAAGGAAGAATCGACCCCAACCCCAAATGTGAGGGTCAGTCAGGGCATCTGTTGCCCTTTTCTGGCACTGCAGCTCTATCCATTTTTTAAAAAAAAAGGTTAAATCCTAACCTTAAAGGTCCCTCAGCACCCCTGTCCTGGAGTATCGTGAGGGAGGTAAATCGCAGGTTATGCCTCCAAGGGTATAGGGTGGAAGGCTGCTTGTACACTTGCACTTACCCAAGAGCCAAATCCATATTTCAGGATTCGAACCCTTGACGCAACAGCCTCAAGCAAATCTGGATTTCTCCACCTTCCCCTTTTACCACTTGGAGATGTGCCCTGGGGGCAGCTCTGTCCATTTTTAATTGACTGGTAAGAAGGCAATGAAAAATGGCTGCTACGTTGGGACCCCTTGACTATATATAATGTTCGAATTTTTCAACACAATATTTTTCCCTTTCATGTTTATATTTTATGATAAAATTTTATTACGGTCCAATACAGTAAACGCAACCTAATACATGACACATTAGATCAATTTTTAGTAATTTCTAAATTGATTGACCCTTCGGAGGCTATTGCAAGGATGAACCAATCCCACCATGGCCAAGGTCGGTCCTACATTGTCATAGAGATGACTACTTGTGGTTCCCTCACTCTTTATTCGAATTTTCACTATCTTTCGCTACATATTTGTTTGTTACTTGTACATTTTGTAATACACGTCCCTTCATATTTTATGGATCTTCTAGTATATGTCCTTAATAGAGGCCTGTATAAAGGTGATATAAAATTCAAGGTAAATTCTTATGATCACATCCTTCTAATTTTTCATATTTTGTTCCTTATATCATCTCTTAAATTATTCTCCTCAAAGTACTAAATCTCTATTTACTTATAATTTTTCTTCTTTATTAGGCTTAACCAAACAAGTTTACTTGTTTTTATCAAATGAATATGGCAATCTTACCTATGATTTTTCATTTCCGATTCATATGAAGAAAGGAGGAAAGATACAACATCAAAATGTGATGGAAACTTTTTATTTCCAGTTCATTTCCGATTGAATACTGACATACTGCAAGAGATCTAAATAGTTTTCCCAGCTTTTTAATTTTACAGCAAATTAGATCCAGCCTTCATGTGTGATGCGCAACATGACAAGGACTTATGTAATAAAATTTCATGGCCTAAGTAATCGACCTTCCAGGGGGGGGGGGGGGGGGGGGGGGGGGGGGGGGGGGGGGGGGGGGGGGGGGGGGGGGGAACTACCAATTCTTAGTGCCCCTTAATTTCTTTTCTTTTCTTTTATTTTCTTTTTTTCGTCATGGATAATTTTTTAATCATTCAATTTCTCAAATAGATTTTTTAAGTAATAAAAATATTATATTTTCTCATATTAACTTCTTTTTTTACTTCTAAATTGAGATATAAATTCTTTAACCAATCATAATTTTCTCTCCAAAAGTCAACGAATTCTTACTCAAACAAGAGCTAGAAGAAAAATGACTATTTAAAGGAGAATATTCAATTTTTCATGCCTTCTTTATTTTCAATTTTGCCTATTCATAGATTCTTTTTTCTTTTTCTTTTTTTTTTTTTCAATTTTGCCTCCTATTCATAGATTTTTTTCATGCCTTCCTTATTTTAAATTGTGCCTATCCATAGATTTTGTATGAGGTCATGGGGAAATTAAGTCATTTTATTGTTAATGACAAGTGACAACAATTGCTTGGTAAGCTTTAATTGAATTTGTTAGCTTTTCACGTTTTATTCAATATATTACATGGTCTGTATTCATTGTTTGTGAAGTCATATTTAACAAGCTTTTTATTCTTACTTGTACTTCAATATTGATTTGGTCTAATATGTAATATCTAGTTAAATATATTCAATTACCTGAAAAATTTACCATCGCACTCCTCGATGCTCGTTTATTCAGATCAGTATAAGATTCGTATGATCATACTCTCTGACCCTGTTTTGGATTCGCCTACTACACAGGTTCACATAGGACAAGATCAAGATAGTACCATAATGTCGGTCGAAATTTTCGCTATCGATCATCGTTCATTTTATTGATAATATTAACATTCTAACTTTTGGAAATTTCAAAAGCAAATAAATAATTTCATTTCCAACATGTAGCTTGTGCGTAACTTCACCAAATTATGATTAAAAAATAATACTTCAAAATATGATAACTTTTATTTCATTTTCCTTTGGGTATCATCTGTCGCTTCTTAACATTGTTGTCTAATTATGAGGATCACATCGTAAGTGCACATTTCAGAAATAATCAATTATTTTGTAGATGAACAAAAATCTTAAAATGTCCAGTATATTATGTGGTGGTAGGCGACAAAGACCCAATTGTGGAAAAGAGTTATAATTGGGGATAGCAATAAAGATAGAGACCTGATATGAGAAGAAATTGTTAGGCAATAGGAAGAAATATTAGCGAATCCAGGATTTCGAGTGAGCACAAGTATTAATTATTGATTTTCGGCCGTAATAAAACATTAAAAATTAAATGTAACAATTATTTTGCTAAAACTGAACATATATTAGTTCTATTATATATTTTAATAATATTCACTAAATGATATAGTGAACAATTTTTGTATAATTCAAAGGAAGAGTATTGGTTCGAATCTTTCTAATTGCATTAAAACTGCTAACACTGAACATATGTTATTATGTTACATTTAGTGTCAAAATTCAACTAGTGCCATAGTAGTCAAGTTTTCAATAATCTTGAGGTTTAAAATTTCCTCCGTATTACATTAGTTTTTGGTAAAGATTGTTGAACTGGAAAAATTGCACAATAAATTGCTTTGGAAGAGATTTGACCCCTAGACTTCAATTTTTATGTACAAGCTCTAACAAACTAAATTACAAGAGATGCTCAAAAATAAAATAAATTACAAGATATCTAATTTAA